CCCCCCCCCCCCCCCCGCGGCCCTCCAGGACACTCCCTCCTGTAGTACCCTCCGTGTGCGGCAGGGGGCGCAGCCCTGCAGGTCGGGGCCACACGGGGATGCTGGGCGGGACTGGGGGGGTGGTCAGCCCCAGAGCCTGGGCAGTGCTCCCTCTGCGGCCGTGCTGGGGACTTCTGAGGACTCTCGCGCGGACTGCTGCTGCCACACATCTGAGTCAGAAATCACTTCCACGTTCTTTGGAGCGTCTATGCTGAGATGCGGAGTCGATTCAGGCACTGCGGCTGGGGGGCTGCGGGCAGTGCAGCTGGGGGGTGACTGGCAGTTCTGGAGCCAGACAGACCCGTGCATGCAGTACCCGCCTCACCGGACAGCTGTGAGGACCCCGGGTGACAAGGGACCACGTGCAGTACCTAGGAGGCGGCAGCACCCCTGCTCTGGGGAGCCGGCCACGTGCCCACGGAGCGTTAATACCGCTGTTGAACGAGCAAACGTTTGCTCCTTTGGAAACCTGGACTCGGCTTGTTCACAGCAGCCGAAGTGCAGAAGGAACTCGAAAGTGTGTCAACGGGTGGGTGGGTGTGGGTGGCCCGCGCGCACTGCAACACCATTCAGCCCTAAAAATGGTGGAGCCCCGACCTGTGGCCGCAAGGCCATCCTTGGGTGCACGATGCTGAGGGGAAGCCACCAGTGACGAAAGCACATGAACTGCATGATGGCACCTGCAGGAAGTGTCTAGAACTTGCAAATCCATAGAGAAAGTAGCATAGAGGCTCCCAGGGGTGGGAGCAGCGGGGGATGGGGAGCTCTTGCTTGGTGGGTGTAGGGTTTCTGTCTGAGGTCACAGAGAAGCCTGGATGTACCTGGTGGTGATGGGTGCACAACATTGCAAATGTCATTAATGCCACGAATTGTGACTTTAAAATGGTTAAGATGGTAAATTCTATGTTATGTGGATTATACCACAATTTAAAAAACAGGAAAAAAAACTAGACTAGGTTAATGATATCACTCGACTTTAAAAAAATGGGGGGGTGCACCTTGAGGGCTCCGTCAGTTCAGCGTCCGACTTCAGCTCAGGTCATGATCTCGCCGTTTGTGGGTTCGAGCCCCGCGTCAGGCTCTGTGCTGACAGCTCGAAGCCTGGAGCTGCTTCAGATTCTGTGTCTCCCTCTCTCTCGACCCTCCCCCACTGATGCTCTGTCTGTCAAAAATTAATATAAACATTAAAATAGGTTTACAGAAAGAAGACCCACATCTGTATTTTTGCAGAGCGTGAACTTCTTACAGGCTCTTCTGGGGTGGCCGGCACGCCCCGGGCTGGCAGGCCGCTCCACCGCCCCGTCAGGTCCCCGCTGCCTCCCTGTTCCCCCGGGCCAGCCTGCTGTCCTTTCCACGGGGCCACTTGCAGCTCCAGCCGGGCCTCCAAGCACCTGCCTGCCTCGCTTCCCTTCAGCGCTGCGCCCTGCCCTGTGCGCCCACCTTGGCCTGCAGAGCCTCTCGGGGCACCCCGAGCCCTACCAGCTGGTCCCAGCACGTGCGAGAGCACAGTGGGGGTCAGGCGTTGTAAGGAGAGCATGAAAGGGGACCGCGGGAGGCAGGACAGCCCAGGGACTCGGCACAAGGGCTCCGTCTCCCTCGCCTTCATCCCTAACGTGCACGCCTGGCCGCACGGGACCTGGGTCAGTAGGTGGGACGGGGCCGCCAGGCCACCTGTGTCAGGAGGACCCTCCCCGGTCACTCTCGGCTGCCCGCCTGCTTCCTGGGGTCAGCACGCACGTATTGATTTGTCCCGGGCTTCCCGCTGGCCTTCCGCCTCGCTGGGCGGCCCCAGGATAAGGATGCGCTTCTGTTTTCCTCACTAGCCAGGCTGGTGCCCCGGGGGGTTCGCGGAAGAGGTGGGGCCCAGCGTCCACCGGAACACCTCCACAGGAGGACACGGCTCCGGAAGCATGAAAGCTGTAATCGTCCAGGAGCAGGCGGGACTTGGCGAGGTCTAAGGGTCTGCGAGGGGGGCGCCTGGGTGGCTCGGTCGGTTGAGAGTCCAGCTTCGGCTCAGATCGTGATCGCACGTTTGTGAGTTCGAGCCTCACGTTGGACTCTGTGCAGAGCCTGCTTAGGGTTTCTCTCTCAGAATAAATGGGTGAACTTTAAATATATATGTGTGTATTTATCATATATATATTAAAAAGAGTACACGTATCTTTAAAAAAAACTAAAATAAAAATAAAAAGCAGCGAGGACCACGGGGGTGCCCACAGAGCCCACCTGTTTGCATGTGGCTCCAGAAGCCAGAAGGTCAGCACCCCTCCTCCCGCATCCCCAGGCCCAGGCAGGGCCTCAGACCCCGGGGGCCACGCGGCCGCAGGAGATAGGAGTCGAGCAGCTGGAGGGCTGAGTGCCCTTTGACCCACTTCCGTGCAGTGATACAGCAGGGACCGGAGACAGACACCTGGGTCACCCAACGTCCTTGAAAGATGCCGTCCGGGCTTCTTCCTTCTTTCCTCCTGCCGAAGGCCGCCAGCACGCGCAGCACCCGCTCTCGGCCGGGCCCCGGGGTCCAGGCTCCGTGTGCAGAACAGCGCTGCAAGGTGGGGTCTCGCCCGCCCCAGGCTCCCGCCAGACTAAAGGGTCAGCAGGTTAACAGGCTGCCTCTGGGGATATGATCTCTGGGGGCAGAGCTCACAGATAAACTTTTCTTTTTAATTTAAAAGGATAATTTTATTTTTTTCTTTTAATTTTTAAGGCTTATTTATTTTTGAGACGGAGACAGAGTGGGAACGGGAGGGGCAGAGAGAGAGGAAGACACAGAATATGAAGCAGCTCCAGGATCCGAGCTGTCGGCACAGAGCCTGATGCGGGGCTCAAACTCACTAACTGTGAGATCACGACCTGAGCCAAAGTCAGATGCTTAATTGACTGAGCCACCCAGGTGCCCCTATTTCTTTTTTTTTTTCTAATGTTTTTCAATGTTTGTTTATTTTTGAGAGAGAGAGAGAGAGGGCAGGTGAGGGGCAAAGAGAGAGGGGGGGCAGAGGATCCAAAGTGGCCTATGCTGAGAGCAGACAGCCCAATGTGGGGCTCGAACTCATGAACCGTGAGATCATGACCTGAGCTGAAGTTGGACACTTAACCGACTGAGCCACCCAGGTGCCTTACCTTTCTTTTTCTTTATCTTTGTTTTCTTTTTTCTTTTTCTTTCTTTTTTTTTTTTTTTTTTTTTGAGAGACAGCAGGAGCCGGGGAGGGGCAGCGGGAGAGAGAGAGAGAGAGAGTCTCCCAAGCAGGCTCCATACCCAGCGTAGACTCCGATGAGAGGCTCAATCCCACAACCCTGGGATCATGACCCAAGCCAAAATCAAGACTGAGCCACCCATCCAGGCGCCCCACAGGAGCTTGGCGAGAGGCAGCCCGGCCCTGTCTGCAGGCAGTAAGGCGGCCCTTCTGGTCCCCGGCCAGTGGAGGGCAGGGCTGCGAAGGCCCGTGTGCACCCAACTTGGGGGGGGGGGGGGGGGGGGGTTGGCTCTGAATAATTCAAAGCAGAGGGTCTGCCAGCTACAGGCTAAACCCCGCTTCTACCACGCAGACCCCCCTGCCCTGAGCGAGCTCATGCTGTGCCCCTCAATTTTCTGTCACGGGTGGGGGGGGGCGGGGATGCGTGGTGCCCGCGTGGCTTTGCAGCCTGGGCTGTGCAGGGTAAACATCATCATTGCCGCGGGGGGGGGGGGCTGATTGGTGACGCGTGTGGCACTGTGGCATGCCTCGAAAAGCCCCTTCTCACAGGATGATACACCGTATACAAATGGCATCTCGTCTCCTGATTTGTCTCCTGATTTGCCTGCCTCTCGAGGGAACACACCCTGAGTTGTGGACCCATAAGGAATGTTTTCCTTAAGAAAACCTTCCAAGTCTCTGAAGGAGCCTAAGGGAATTTGCCCTCCTAACCGGCCTGGGGCCCAACGTGAAAGCCAAGTGTGTCTCCTCCACACACCCCCAGGCCCCTCTTGTGTCTGCTGCCCGGAACTTCTCTCCTGGAATGTTTGAACTGGAATTAAAAAAAAAAAAAAAAAAA